GTATTTTTTCCTACCTTGCCTTCTAGCTCACTGATGTGGTCCTCTGCTTCTTCTAGTCTACTGTTGATGCTCTCTATTGTGTTCTTTATAGCAGTAATGTCATTTTTCATTTCTTCTTGGTTTTTCTTCATTTCCTCTTGGTTCTTACACATATTGTTGAATTTGCCTTCCATTCTTTTCATCCACCTTATGACCATTTCTCTGAATTCTTTCTCTGACAGGTTGCTTGCCTCCTTTGCCTCCATTTCCTTTACTTCCTTTTCTGGGTATGCCTGTTTTTCTTTCATATGCGGGCTGGTTCTTGGTGTCCCCATGATCTCTCTTCTCCAAGTGTTTGGTTATGTAGTTATCTCTCTGCTGCATTGATTTAAAGGCACAAAATACAACACAACAAGGCACAATGTACAAGGCACTGAACACAAATGTATTCACTATACTAATAACCCCAAATAAAGGTGACCATCCAAGCAAAGGGAATTAGGGGATAAGGAAGAAAGAAGAGAAAAAGATAAAAGAGAAAAAGAAAAAAAAAAGGAGTGCAAAAATGAAATTGGGAAAAGGGAGAAAAAAAAAGTAAGAGAGAAAAGAGAGAGAATGAAATAGAAGAGGGGAAGAGACTATATGTGGAGAAAACTCCAATAGAACCGCCACTAATCCTAACAAATTCCAGCAACAGATCCCTGGAGATGAATGCAAACTACAAACAATCACTAATATCAAGTGAGGCAAGGGAAAACAGCAGCGCAAAAATAACCGGGAAAGAAAAAAAAGAGAGAGAAAAAACCCACAGAAAAAGCAAAAGCAAAAGCAAAACAACCTCACAAACAAGCATAAAAAACCCCAATATACTCAACAATCAAGCAAACAACAACAAATCTACAGAGAGAGAGAAAAAAATTTGGATAGTGAAGAAAGATAAGGGAGAGGTGTATATGGATTTAGAGCAGGGGATTGGAAATTGGATATATAAGTAGGGTGAAATTTTGATGGGTAAAAAGAAGGAATAGGGAAAATCTAAAGCAAGAATAGGGTAAGAGACAGGACAACAAAAGGGGAAAAGTGAGGAAGAGAGTTTTGGCATAAAGGTAAAGTTGAGGTAGAGAAAAATAATGCTAAAGGAACGATGAAAATAGAATGTAGAACACTAATCCCAAAATAAAGAGAAAATAAAATGGCACTTTAAAAAATGGTAAAATGGTAGTAGTAATAATACTGGTTAAAAATAAAAATGTATTAATTAAAAGGGTAAAATTAGGTGATGAAAAAAGAAAAAAATTGGTTTCTTAATTAAAAGGTGAAAAAAGAATAATGAAAAATAAATAAATAAAAATGTGCAGTAGTGAAGATCCTTCAGTTCTTCTACTCTTCTGTCTGGCACACCTTAGTCCTGCCAGGTATTCAAGAGAGTGTTGAATTTCCCTGCGATACACTGTTCCTCCATGTTGTAAACCACAGTCCTGATTTTAAAGCAGGCCGTATTTGTTTCCCAGACTGCCTTTATTTGTATTTACAGAAGAGTCAGTTCGTGGCTCTGCCTCTGGGTGGCAGTGTGTCTGGATTGACCTCCGAGGCTATAAGTCCTCTCTATCCAGTAGTTAGAGTTTATTTTCTCTATTGTACTTAAAACTGGTTTGGGAAAGTCCACTGCCCAGAGCTGGTTCTTTAATCGCTACTCCCCGCTGTGTTTCCCAGGTTCCACAAAAACAACTTTCCCCTGCAGTCTCTGCGAGTGTCCCCAACTGGGCAATCCCATGCACTGGGTTTAATAATCAAATGCAAAGATTTAAGGGGAAGAGAAAAAAACAAGAGCCTGAGAAGTTGCACGAATTCGCAACCCTCCACCTTCCAGCTCTGTGTGCAGTCTTCTCTGTGTGCCCTCTCTCCCCTGGCACCAAGCAGCCGGCACACTGGCAAAATCTGAGGTTGCCTATTTGCATCCAGTCCAGCTATGGGCTTATTTTTAGCGTTGCCTTCTGCCAGCAGCCCTGTGGGAGCCCTTCCACACTTGTGGATCATGCTGGCCACAAAGGCCGCGGACTTTGTGGGGTGCAGACCTCCCCGCGCATGTTCCTCTCCTCAACCTGAATTGCAAACTGCATCTTCAGGTGAAATATGACCTTTCTGTTGAAATATGACCTTTCTGTGAGGAGAAGCAGGGCTCCACGTAGTCGCGCTGTCCCAGATACGGTGTTTCCGGGTTAGCCGATCTCTGGATGCCAGGTCTTTGGATGTATACGCTTGCAATAACAGCCACTCAAGATGGCACAGTTTCCGTGGCTGAGCTGATGCTCCAGGAGAGATTCCATCTGCAGTCTCCAACCATCCCCTTTCTCCGGGAGTCCTCCGCCTTTCCCAGCTGCAAACTGTCTCTCAGCTGAATATCCTCTCGGTGGTAGTTCTTTTTAAAAAATGTTTTTGAAACCTTCTGTTATGCAAAAAGGTTGTATCAATTTACATTATCAATAGCAGTGTACAAGTGTTCCCTGTCTCTACATTCTTACCAACACTTCGCTATTGTCTTTTTGATAATAGCCACCCTAATAGGTATGAGGTACTATTTCATTGTGGTTTTGATTTGTGTTTCCCTGATGATTAGTGATGTTCAGTACCTTTTCACGAATCTGTTGGCCATTTGTATGTCTTCTGTGGAAAATGTCTATTCATTTGTCTATTTCTTTGTGATTTTAAAAATTGGGTTACTTAGTTTTTGCTATTGATTTGTATGAGCTACTCATATATTTCGGACATTAATCTCTTATCAGGTATATAGTTTACAGGTATTTTCTCCTTTTCTGTAGCTTTCCTTTTCATTTTGTTGATATTTCCTTCAGGGTACAGAAGCTTTCATATTTGATGCAATCGCATTTGTTTGTTTTTGCTCTTGTTGGCTGTGATTTTAGTGTAATACCCAAAGTATCATTGCCAATACCAATTTCAAGTAGTTTGTCCCCCATGTTTTTTTCTAGGAGTTTTATGGGTTCAGGTCTTACACTTAAGCCTTTAATACATTTTGAGTTCATTTTGTGTTATGGTATAAGATGATGGTTCTATTTAAATCTTTTACCTGTACATATTCTGTTCTCTCAGAAACATTTATTGAATAGGCTATCCTTTCCCCATTGTGTATTCTTGGCATCCTTGTCAAAGAAGAATTGACTGCATGCATGAGGGCTCTCTGTTCTGTTCCATTGGTCTGTATGTATTTTTTATGCCAGTACCACAATGCATTAATTGCTATAGTTTGAAATCAGGAAGTAAGATTCCTCCAGCTTTGTTGTTGTTGTTCTTCTTTTTTAAACCATTTTTTTATTTTTCTGAAGAATTGGCTATTCAGGCTCTTTTCTGGTTCCATATGAATTTTTAGGATTCTTTCTCTTTTTTTAAAAAAAACTTAATTTTTATTGTTGACACTATTCCAGATGTCCTTATTTTTCTCCCCTTTGCCCACCTCTACCCATCCCCTGCCCGTCTCCCTCTGGTCATCACCACACTGTCTGTGTCTATGGGTTATACATATGTGTTTTTTGGCTATTCCCTTCACCTTCTTTCATCCAGTCCCCTCTTACCCTCCCCTCTGTCAGCTGTCAGTCTGTTTCATATATCCATGCCTCAGTTTCTATTCTGTCAGTTTATTTTGTTAATTAGACTCCACTTGTAAGTGAAATCATGTGACATTTGTCTTTATCTGACTGGCTTATTTCACTTAGCATAATAATCTCCAGGTTCATTCATGCCATTGCAAAAAGTAAGATATTCTTCCTTTTCACAGCTACATAGTAATCCATTGTGTAAATGTCCCATATCTTTTTTATCCACTCATCTACTGATGGATACTTGGGCTGTTTCCAGATCTTGGCTATCATAAATAACCCTGCAATGAATATAAGGGTGCTTATATATTTTTGAATTGGTGTTTCAGGATTCTTAGGATATATTTCCAGAGTTGGAATCACTGGGTCAAGAGGCAGTTCAATTTTTAATTTTTTAAAGAAACTCCATATTTTCCACAGTGGATATACCAGTCTGCATTCTATTTTTGTGAAAAGTGCCATTGGAATTTTTATAGGGATTATATTGAATCTGTAGATCACTTGGGATAGTATGGACATTTCAACAATATTAATTATTTCATTCCATGGAATATCTGTTTATTTGTTCCTCTATCATTCTGTTATTTTTAATCACATCTGGTATAGTAACTTATCTAAGTAAAAATTATCATTTATAAACAACTTGTTTTGCATTAAACATAAACCAAACCTTTTAATTTTATAGTGTTAAAATAGAAAGTACCTGTAATTGGGAAGGGCTACTATTTATTATGCAATTACTTTATTGGTAGCTCCATCTATCACTGACTAGCCTTAAATGAATGAAGGGAGTGGTACATGAGTTGGCTCCAATGGGGTTGCATAATAGAGCATTGTTTCAGAGGCTCAGCTATATTCCCTTGAGCATCTTTGTGAGGCATGAAATTAGTTTCTAATCATATGTTAATATTAATCCCTGAAATTTAATTGTCTGATATTTGCTAAGTATTTTCCTTGTAACTTTACATTTACCTTTGGTCCTTACAAATGCTTTATGCAATAGGTACTCTAATACCTTAGTTTTAATAGATGAAGAAACTGAAGCTCAGAGAGGTTAAGTAACTTAAGTACCCAAAGTCACATAATAAGTGAGTAAAACAGATTTTAAGCAATGTATTTTGACTCTAAACTTGTATTTTAGTGCATACACATTAATAATAATTGACAAAAATTTCATGCTTCTACCCAATTTAATTTTGCTATTTTTGTTGTGAATATTTTTGGTATATCTATAGAATTTATAGAATTACATAGTTTGACCTATTTACTTGCTAATAATTTACTTTACTGTCTGTGAATAAAGGTTAAAGAACATCTTAAATTTTATTTTACAAACGGTATATATCCTAGTTCTTATTTAAGAATCTTATTCTTTGATAATAAATGTTTTATTTATTGACATTTTAACAGGGATAGTGAAAGTCCACAAGAAGCAGTGCAAAGTTATGTAAATGTACAGGAGAAAATTGAAGGTGATCTTTTATATATGTTTGCCTTTATGATGTTTTCTAAATACATTAACATTTTGAGACTTATAGTTTAAAAGCTCATAGCCATAAAATTATACAATAGTAAATTTCAAAAGATTTTACTAGAGGGAAAGGAGGAGAGGTAGTAAAGGGTAAAGGGAGTCAAATATGTGGTGATGGAAATATATTTGACTTTGGGTAGTAAACAAGTAGTGCAATACATAAATGATGTATCATAGAACTGTACACTTGAAACCTATAAAATTTTATTAACCAATGTCATCTCAATACATTTTTTTATTTTTTGTTAATCCTCACTGGAGGATATTTTTGCATTGATTTTTTAGAGTGCATGGAAGGGAGAGGGAGAAACAGAGAGAAACATCAATGTGAGAGAGACACATGAATTGGTTGCTTTCTGCATGCACCTCAACCAGGGCCGGGGAGCCTGCAACCAAAGTACGTGCCCTTGACCAGAATCGAACCCTTCAGTCCGGGGGCTGACAATGCTCTATTCACTGAGCCAAACTGGCTAGGGCACCTTGATACATTTAATTAAAAAGATGTTTAATGGTGAATTTGAAAAAAAATAGTGAGTTTTATATTTTCAATAAAAATTCTTATTATATTGCAAATTCTAGGAGTGTAAAAATGAATACAATTTGGTTGTTGCTCCCGTAAAACCCACAACTGACTAAAGGCACAAGCACATGATATCACATTTTATAGTGTAATGCATGCTAATTGTTTGTATAATTCTCAGTGAGTCTACAGAAAGGAGCCAACTTGTTCTATTTGAGTGTTAGGAAGATTTTATGCAACCTTAAAACATGAATAGGACTTAGTTAAGTGAAGAAGGGAGATATTTGGTACTTTAAGAAGATATAATATGAACAAACAGTATGAATGGAGAATTACAACTGGAATGGTATTAGACTAGACGAGTGGTCGGCAAAGTCATTAGTCAGCAGAACCAAATATCAACAATACAATGGTTGAAATTTCTTTTGAGAGCCAAATTTTTTAAACTTAAACTATATAGGTAGGTACATTGTTATTAACTTAATTAGGGTACTCCTAAGGCTTAGGAAGAGCCACACTCAAGGGGCCAAAGAGCCACATGTGGCTAGTGAGCCGCAGTTTGCCGACCACGGGACTAGACTATAAAGCCATAGTTAGGGATATGGTAGGGGTCAGAGGGATTGAATGTTGCGCTAAGGATTTTTAAAAAATTAATTAATTAATTAATTAATTAAATATAATAGGGACTCATTGATGATTTTTTGTAGGGAAGTGACATTGTTGTATTTAATTGAAAGATTATTCTGGCCACATGGTAGAAGCCAGATTAGGGGTTTGGGAGTAGGAAAGATAAGTTATTATTGTATATAAGTGCCTATGTTAGAGCACAAGTGAAAAAGAAGGGTCATATTTGAGAAATATGTGCCTGGTAAAATAGACAAAACTTGGTGATTGGATATGAAAGGAAGGGGGATTATATGATGGTAACATTAAGAGAATATAAGATGAAAACCAAGTTTTGTCAAAAAAATGATGATTTCACATCACTCAGTTATAGATATTACCATTGTTACCCAGTTGGGAGGATCTACATGTTGGTAGCTCTATTGTTTTTCTTAGAATTTTTTTCTCTTGAATTAATTATTAAAAAACTATAAAATTTAAAGTCAATTAATATATATATTATTTATATTTTAAAACAACAAATTCACCATTATTTCAGAATTCATAAAAACTCACTCAACTGAAGACTTTATAGATGTTTCTGCATCTGAATCACGTAAGTTTTCACTTATTTAAGCATCAGTGTTACTAACCTCTATTGAGGGCATTGATTTCTATAATTTCCTATAATTTAAAGTAATAATTATTAAGTTATAACATAGATTCCCTGAATTTTAGAGTCATACAATCAAGCTGGTTATCAAGCAAGTATTGACATTTCTAGTTAAGGCTACATGTTTCAAAAAATAGACTCATTTTTGAGGAGCACCATGTTATTACTGGGAATGGAGGATTTTAGTTGTGATTAGAGTGTACTAAAATGTTGCAGGAGTGGCAGGTCTTTAAGATGGAGCAGTAATAAAATTAAGAGATTGTTTTTAGACTTTGTTACTATTAATTATAGATCATCTCATAAACACTAATGCTACTGGTAGATACTCAGCTGTAGTCACAGCTGCTAGAACTAGGATGTGAAAGTTCTGACAACTTGTCAACAGGAAGGAGACATTACCTTACATATGTCTTAATAATGGACAGAATTTTCTAACAATCATGTAATATATACTATGGAATACAGTTTAGAAATGGAAAATAAGAATTGATTAGAAATAGTTGATGGGAATCCTGTCCTCTTGCAACATGAGCTTTAAACCTTAATGTTGCCATGTATAAAACAAAGACAGATATACATTCCTTAGTATTGCCAGGTTCTATATAGACTTCTGATCAAGAGATTCTATCTAGGTAGGATAGAATGGTATCTAGAGCTTTGGAGTGGATAGTGAGAGCCTCTCTCTACATCAAACCCTCTGCACATCTACGGAGCTCTCTCTTAACCTGTGTGGCTTGCTTCTCTTTAGTACTGTCCCCCATTAATTCTAGTTGCCAAAACTCTAAACTTTGTCTTTGAACTCAAGGAAACTTTTTTTGCTGTGACCTAGAAACACCAGGCAATAAGCTGGCATGAATGTCATAAGTCTTTTTCCTTTTTGTTTTTTTCAGGGATTACTGCCTTGTGCTTTCTGTTCTCCAATGTCTAAACATTGCTGTTCCTTTATTTTTGTCCAGTTTTTCATTATTTAAAGGTGGAAGGGTAATTCTGGTCCATTATGCTTCATTATGGTTTTAAAAAGAAGTCTCGTGCCTACTTATATGCCAATAGAACACATCCTCCAACAACAAAAAAGTTCCCAAAAATATAATAGTAAAAATTTTTCCTTTCAACATTATTTTGTTTTGGTTTCGGTGTACAGTACAGTGGCTAGATAATCACAAACCTTAGAGTGTTTCCTCCCCTTCCCCCTATAATTTCAGCACCAACCTGGCACCACACATAGTTATTGCAACACTATTGACTATACTCCCCAGGCTTTAACCGGCATCCTTGTGATTATTTTGTAACTACCGATTTGTACATTCTAATCCCTCCACCTTTTTCAACAGTATCTAAGGCTCCTTTCCTCTGAGAACCAGTAGGTTCTCTGTGTTTACAAGTTGTTTTCAATGTGTTTGTTCATTTATTTTGTTCTTTATATTCCACACATAAGTGAAGTCACATGGTATTTGTCTTTCTCAGACTGACTTATATCAATGAACATAATACCCTCTAGGTCCATCCATGCTGTCACAAATGGTAAATTTTCATTTTTTTTTTATGGCTGAGTAATACTCTACTGTATATATGTAGCACTTCTTTATCCAATCATCTATTATTGGGCACTTGGGTTGCTTCCATATCTTGGCTATTGTACATAATGCTGCAACAAACATGCATATATTCTTTCAAATTAGTGGTTTGGTTTTATTCAGATAAATACCAGGAGAGGAATTGTTGGGTCATAAGGCAGTTCCATTTTAAATTTTTTGAGAAACATCCATAATGCTGTCCCAGGTGGCTGAAACATATGCATTTCCACCAACAATGCATGAGGATTCTTTTTTCTCCATATCCTCACCAACACTTGCCACTTGTAGATTTATTAATGGCTAGAGGCCTGGTGCACAAAAATTTGTGCACTCGGGGGGCGGGGGGGTCCCTCAGTCTGGCCTGTGCCCTCTCACAGTCTGGGACCCCTCGGGGGATGACCACCTGCTGGCTTAAGCCCACTCCCTGGGGGATTGGGCCTAAGCTGGAAGTCAGACATCCCTCTGGCAGCCTGGGAGCCCTTGGGGGATATCCACTTGCCAGTGGGGAGCAGGCCTAAGTTGCAGTCAGACATCCTTAGTGCTGCTGAGGAGGCGGGAGAGGCTTTCAACACCACTACTGTACTGGCAACCTTCAGCCTAGCTTGTGGCTGAGCAGAGCTTCTCCTGCATTGAGCATCTGCCCCCTGGTGGTCAGTGTGTGTCATAGTGACCAGTCATTCCCAGTCATCCTGCTGTTAGGGTCAATTTGCATATTACCCTTTTATTATATAGGAGTGCCTGGCCAGCCTGGCCAGCCTGGGTGAGGGGCTAATGGCTGTTTGCAGGCTGGCCACAGCTCCTTTAGGGTGGGGATCCCTCTGGGGTGCCTGGCCAGCCTGGGTGAGGGCATAATGGCTGTTTTCAGGCTTGCCACAGCCCCTTCCGGTTGGGAGTCCCCCCTGGGGTGCCTGGCCAGCCTGGGTGAGGGGCTGAGGGCTGTTGCAGGGTACCCTCAGCCCCTTCAGGGTAGGAGTTCCCCCTGGGGTGCCTGGCCAGCCTGGGTGAGGGGCTGATTGCTGTTTGTAGGCTGGCCATAGCACCTTCAGTGTGGAGGTCCCCACTGGGGTGCCTGGCCATCCTGGGTGAGGGGCTGATGGCAGTTTTCAGGCTGGCCAAGCCCCCAAGCAGGGACCCTCACCCCATGAGGGTGTGTCCAGCCTGGGTGAGTGGCTGATGGCTGTTTGCTGGCTGTCCACAGCCCGTTCAGGGTGGGGATCCCTGCTGGGGTGCCTGGACAGCCTGGGTGAGGCTCTGATGGCTGTTTTCAGGCTGGCCACAGCCCCTTCAGGGTGGGGGTCCCTGTTGGGGTGCCTGGCAAGCCTGGGTGAGGGGCTGATGGCTGTTTGCAGGCTAGCCACAGCCCCTTCAGTGTGGGGGTCCCCACTGGGGTGCCTGGCCATTCTGGGTGAGCACCATTTGCAGGCTTGCCACAGCCCCTTCAGGTTGGGGGGTCCTGCTGGGGTGCCTGGCCAGTCTGAGTGAGGGGCTGAAGGTTGTTTTCAGGCTGGCCACAGCCCCCAGCCATCCAAGCTCCCAGCAAGGCTGGCTGGAAGCGGGTATCTGGGATTTATTTGTCTTCTATAATTGAAACTTTGTTGCCATGAGTGGAAGCCACAGCCAGCTCAGGGCAAGGGGGAAGCTTGGCTTCCTCCATCACCCGGGCAACCAAGCCTCATGCTTGCTCCAGCTCCGTGGCTGCCGACCACCATCTTGGCTGGGTTAATTTGCATATAGTCGCTCTTATTGGCTGGTGGGTGTGGCTTAGGATGTAGCGAAGGTACAGTCAATTAGCATCTTTGTCTTTTATTAGTGTAGATAGCCATTCTGATAGGTGTGAGCTAATATCTTATTATGGTTTTGATTTGCATTTAAACCATAAATGCAAATGCTTGTGACATTAAGCATCTTTTCATATGTCTATTGAGGTCCTCTGCCCATTTTTAATTGGTTTGTATTCTTTGGTGTTGAAAAGTATGAGTTCTTATAAATTTTAATATTAACCCCTTATCAGATGTATCATTGGTGAATAGCTTCTTCCATTCAATAGGTTGTCTTTTCAATTTGTTGATGTTTTACTTTGCTATTCAAAACTTTTTAGTTTGATATAGTGCCATTTGTTTATTTTTTTTGTTTCTCCTGACTGAGGATATATATCAGAAAAAATATTGCTACAAGAAATTTCTGAGATTTTACTAACTATTATTTTCTAGGATTATTATGGTTTTGAATCTTACGTTTAAATCTTAATCCATTTTGAGTTTATTCTTGTATATGGTGTAAGGTGTACTCATTTCAATTTTCTGCATGTCTGTCCAATTTTCTAAGCACCATTTATTAGAATAGATTGTTTTTACCCCATTGTTATGTTTTTCCTCCTTTGTCAAATATTAATAGATCATATGGATTTATTTCTGGGCCATCTCTTCTGTTCCATTAATCTATATGTCTGTTTTTATGTCAGATCCTGCTGTTTTAATTAATATGGTTTTGAAGTATAATTTGATGTCAGGTAGTGTGATACCTCCAACTTTATTCATTTCGCAAGATTGCGGAGACTATTCATGGTCTTTTGTGGTTATGTCTAAATTTTTGGATGATTTGTTCTAGTTCTGTGAAATACATAATTGATATTTTGATAGGAATTATGTTGGAAGTGTAGATTGCTTTTGGTACTATGGACATTTTAATGATGTTAATTATTTCTATCCATGAACATGGCATGTTATTCCACTTATTTGTATCTTCTTCAGTTTCCTTCTTTAGTATCTTCTAATTTTCTGAGTATAGGTCTTTTACCTCATTGTTTATATTCTTAGGTATTTAATTATTTTAATGCATTTGTAAATGTGATTGGTTTCTTAGTTTCCCTTCCTGATAGTTCATTATTGGTGTATAAAAATACCACTGATTTATGAATATTAATTTTGTATCCTACTATCTTACTGAATGTCTATATCAATCCTAGTAGTTGTGTTTTTTGTTTGTTTTTCTTGGCGAAATCTTTAAGGTTTTCAACATACAGTATCATGTCATCTGAAAATGACAGTTTTACATCTTCCTTTCCAATTCGGATGCCTTTTATTTCTTCTTTTAGTATGATTGCTGTGCCTAGGGCTTCCACTACTATGTTGAACAAGAGTGGTGAAAGTCCCTTTCTTGTTCCTGATGTTAAGGGAAACTGTTTTAGTTTTTGCCCATTGAGTATGATGTTGACTGGGTTTGTCACATATGGCCTTTATTATGTTGAGGTATGTTCCCTTTATTCCCACTTTTCTGAGAGTTTGTATCCTAAATAGGTGGTGGATTTTGTGAAATTCTTTTTCTATGTCTATAGATAGGATCATATAATTTTCATTTTGTTTATGTGGT